TTCCAGCAGAAAGTGTAGGTGCATTTATGGACACCAACAGTTCTTCAGAAACAGCCTCAGACCAGATAACTTCTAATGCCCATTCCTACTCTTAAGATTTATGGAGAGAAGAAGCACACAAAAATCTGAATTGAAAAAGCAGAATTGCTTCCCTAATCTCTGTCCCCAACACAGGGAGCTGTAGGTGAATTAGGACCAGAACTCAGGAGACAATAACAGGTTACTTTTTTTGTATTTAATAAGGCATCAAAAAAGACAGTTTATTTTAATGAAATCTCGATGCCTAGATGTTTTTTCCCATGGTTTATTTAATGCCTTCATTACTTCACCCTCAAAATCAACAAGGTTCGACTCTGCTATGACGTTATAGTGAGCATTTATAGTCACCTGTAAAGGACCCCCTGCCCAGTTGTCTTTTCTTTTGAAACCAAAAAGTAGCATTTCCCCTTTCACAGAAGCGCTACAGTGGGAGGGAGCCGGTGACCTGGAAAAGCAAGAAGCGCGGATTGGTTGGTTGCTCTCTGAGAGCAGTGATTCCGCACTCGTGGCCCCAGTTCCTGCCTCTCAGTGTCGTGAAGGGAGCATTTCCAGCTGGGCTGCGCTTTGTCAGGTTCCCCTGGCAGGAGGCTTTGAACATGGCAGCGGTCAATGTTTCCCTATTTACTTTCCCTCAATTTTTTCAAACTCTTAGTCTTGATTATCTAAAATATCTTATTATAATAAGAAAAGACCTTATAAGCAACTTAATATATATGTTTGGAAAATGTTTATACTCTATCAGACTTTCATGGATGCCAACAAAGTCGCTGATACCATCATTCCTGTATTTTTATGAAATTGTTAGAGAACACAGCCAACCTCTCCTGGCAGTTTGCTATCATTGTTGCTATTTATTTCTTGAACATAAATTTCAAGAGAGAAAATAAGTAAAAACAATACCCCAGCCACACACAGTGGAGGAAATACTGCCCATCACATTTATTTTTCATGAACATTGACTCATTTGAGTCTGACTGATGGACATACTATGTATTTCCTCATGACCATCCAGTTAGAAATGTCTCTCTTATTTGGGCACCATTCTAATCTGGTCCAAACCAAGTCAGGTAGGATTGGAAAGTTGAGTCCGTATTCCACATTATAGGCTCGCTGCTGCCTGTGTAAAGCGTTTAAGCCGCTTTACGGTGTAGTTGGGTTTGT